CCCCAAAACCCCAAAACCCCAAAACCCCATCAATCAGTATAAAACATGCATTGAATGATTTATGAAATTAAGATTAAAGCATTAATTAATAGCCTTTAAGTCACTTTTTGGTAACCTTTTATCTTTTGGCATATCTTTCCTTCAGCTCTCTGATTTTATCTTCTTTGGATTTTTCCTACTACTTTTCTTCCTCTTAAGGCTAGCCATCTTAGTCTCTTTCTTGATTAGTTCTCTTTCCTAAGTTTGAGCTAGGCTTTTCCTCTATAAATCCGCATAGACTTCGGACATCGATCTCTTTAAGTAATGGTATCTTATCTTAGACCCAATCCATTTTAATCTCGCTTACCAATCTCATCATGCCTGCACTACCACCAGTGCTTGAAGTAATCTCTGAGTAGATGACCCAATCAGGGTAGTAACTTGCAACTTGAAATATTGATTATCTATCTACCCTCACCATCAGTCCTTCGTTTACTGTCAAGTAGCTGCCTTCTTTGATGTTGTGAGGCACTCTTCTTGAGGTATTCATATAAAAACCAGAGCATAAAGCTTTTCTCAGTAATTTAGATCTCTCTTCACCAGTAACTCTGCCACTATCATTACCTCTGCTATTCTAATTTCTATCGAATTACCTCTGAATCTTATCCCAATTGACTTGTCTAAGGTAATCTTTTAGCTGATCTTTTATATTTTTGGCCTGCTTTAGAGCCCTTGCCTGAATGAAGTTCTTAAAGCACCATTCATCTTGCCTGTACCTAGGCTGATTCTCCCATTCCTCAAATATATTTACTAAACTCATATGATCACTTTTAGTGTCAGAGAATCTTTTACGCACCTCTTCTAACCTTTATTACTTCTACTCATCGTTTTTACTGACGCCTACCCAAACATTTTCAGCAGATAAAATCGATACAAGTATAAGCATGTCCTCTAGTGACTTACTCTTTTTTATGTGTTGATAGCAAAGTAAAGCTTTAGTATAAGTCGGTTCAAGAGGGAACTTAGAGAGTTCTAATCCGAGTGAAGTTAACTCTCCTGTTTTTTCTATTGCTTCCAAATAGTAAAGAGTTTTGAGAGCATGTTCAATCGTGTCCTTGTCAGGAGAGTCTAGATAATCGAACTTGATTACATCCTGAATACCCATACTTTTCAGAGTCAGCACAGTGCTGGTTAAGTTGACTCTTTTGATTTCAGGAACTGTGGAGTCAGGCATCTGTTCTTAGTAGAACTTCTCTGCGTACAATCTTACACACTTACCCTCTCTTGTTCGCCCAGCTCGACCTGCTCTCTAAATAGCTTGCACTTTACTAATAGGCACTATCTGCAATGATTCCTATAAGTATAAATATAAGATGAATTCATTACCATTCCAGTCTGGGAATTATAAATCTTTTACTTAACGAATCCTGAGTCTATTACATAACCAATATTTGCTACTGTTAACGATGTTTCAGCGATGTTTGTCGCGAATATAATCTAAAAAATATCTAATTATCAAAAGGAGTTGTTACCTTCCTGCAGTTTTCTGGAGTCTTTAAAAAGGCATTTGCTTACTACTCTGCTGTTTATGTACCATACAATGGGACAATCATCATTGGAGGCACTTATTTCTTTTGAGCAATATCAGAGAGGATATCAAAGCACTTTTTGGAAGCAGCTTCGCATTCCTCGAATCCAGTTAAGAACACAAGTATATCTCCAGCTGGTTCATTCAAATGCACTCTAATTGCTATCTGCACGGAATTGTCTACTCTTTGCTCCTTTGAACTATCTTAATGCAGTATACTCACAGGGTAGCATCTACCACTTACTGATAGCACAGGACATCCAGTGCTGCCATTTTCTTGCTGTAGAGCATGAGGTTTTCCAAAGTAATACCTAGCTATTTGATCAGTTTTGAGGGTAGCTGAGGTAACAACTAGCCTTAAAGTGCCTTAACGCCTGAGTACTGCTTGCTTCACCAAAGCGAACAAGATATCTGTGTTTAAACTGCGCTCATGAGCCTCATCGAGAATAACTACTTGGTAGTCTTTCAAGTCAGGGTCAATCAGGCATTCTCTAACCAGGATACCATCAGTTACATACTTTATCTGAGTTAGCCCATTTGGGTCTGTGAAGTCATCAAAACGGATGGAGTAGCCCACTTCTCTGCCTAACCGTGCCCCTCTCTCTGTGGAAACTCTCTTAGCCATTTGAATTGCAGCTACTCTTCTAGGTTGAGTCACTACCACTCTTAATCTGTCTGCTTTTATCTTTACTTGTGAGTCCTCATTTGGCAAGTTGATCTGAGCATCCAGCATCTTTTGAATGTCTTCATGAGCATATGTCTTGAAGTCAGCAACTGAAAGCGAGTCAATTATAAACTGAGCAATCTAGGTGGACTTCCCAGAGCCAGTCTCACCAGTGATCACACAAAACTAAAGTCTTCATTATCAAATATGATGGCTATGCTTACAAGATTGTTCTTAATAATATCTACTATCTGGTCTTTAAACTCATAGATAGGCAGCTGTTTCCTTTCCTCTTATATTGTTTCATATTCATCTCTGTCTCTGATTTAATGATTATCCAATATTTGCTTATCTTTTGTTTCCATTTCTAATAATATTATGTAAATTTTTAAATGTAATTTTCTTTTGGGGTTTTGGGGTTTTGGGGTTTTGGGG